ATATATATATATATAATCATTGGCATTCCTCAGAGTTCCAATTAATGACTCGAATCGAAGACCGGAGGAAACAACCATGCTTTCCGACTCGGGGCAAAAGGAAAGAGAAACTATGCATATGAAACTTGGTCACGTGTGAAGGCAAGTTGTCTACCACATCCAACCCAGCAGTTTGTTACAAGACCTAGTGTAGTGATCTCCAGGTGGCAGACTTACTGATTGGAAGGTCCGTGGTTCGAACCGAACCCCGACATCTCGACTGCTCCTGTTTAGGCTTTGGAAACCTGGAAGTATCTTAGCCCTCGTGTTTGCTTCGGGTTGTGTGGAACCTCCGTACCGAAAGGGTGTTGCAGCTGACCCATTATTATTTTTACCTAAGGTTGATAAGGTTGCTGAAAATGCTTCGACAGCCCACGACCGGTCTCACCCTTCTTGGGGCTCATCAGATAGACGCAGTCACCGAGTTGCCGCCAAACTTGAAAGCATCATAAAGGAGGGTTCCCGAAAAGAAAACAGATTTGTTTGCAAATGAGTGTAGTTCACCAATTTCATGCAATTTGGCTTCAAGTAGACCATAAGGTTGACGGAAACTCGGAAACTGCGCCTATCTGATGAATTCCAAGGAAGGCGAAACCGGTCGTGGGCCACAGGCGCTTGAAACCAGCTGGGCAACAAGTATCACGAAATTTCGAATATCGTACCAACTGAAACATGAGGCGGCCTGGTGCAGCGCACTCAGTTGCTTAAAAACATCATAAACGAGAGAATCAGCTGGGTTCCACGTGAGTCTCCCTTGAAACCACATTGGCTCGTAAATGAGTGTACTTCGCTTATTGATCAGTAGTACGTCGTCATGATTAGGCAGCTTTCGCGCAAATTAAGCATCCTGAATATTTCGAGTGGAAAAAGCAATTGAAATGTTTAGATAATGCAACTCACTTGTTACTGTTTAAAAAAAAATGATATTTCAACTAATCTAGTGGTTCTGCTGTACGAGCTAGCCTTCTCTTTACATATGCAAAGCAGTATGAAGGAAAATACCTCCTCTATGAAGGCTAAAAGGTCGATTTTCATAAGGCATGTAATGCGTGCGCCGTAGGATGACGTGTCAGGTACAGCCCTACTTGCTCGGTCACGTGTCATGTGAGCTTATGAGGTGGAAAGGAAGCGTGAAAATCCTTACCAATAAATTCGGTTGCGTTGGCACCAGCCGCCTGCCTAAACTGAAGCCCGGGACCGGACATATTGATGGTTGGTGTTGTAGAGGTCACTCATCACGCGTCACAAACACTCAAACCACGTGACAGTTCCTGTCCCACTTGCAACCTTAGCCGACAACTTGTATGCTATAAATTCACATCCATTCTTGTTTACGCGGCTACCACTTGCGTAACGCGTCAGGCTTATGAACTTCAACCCACGAGGTCAAGTTGTATTCATGTTCGTGCAAGCATCAAACACGAAGGGACACCCCTCTCTTTGCAGTGCACACAATAAATAGGCATACAACTAGGCTCAACACACACTCGCGCGCACAGGGCAGGAAGTCAGCAGGCCTCCGCAAGTCTCCACGGCCAACTACGGAACACGTGTAGCAGCTACACTGCAGAGAAGACACGTCCGGAACTTCACTCAGGAATTCTCAACAAGTGTCCTCAAATGATAAGTCACTTTTTTTTGGCTTATTCCACCTTTCGCATTGTATCTATTTTTATCCAGTGCACCTAACTATTGTATTCATCACATTCTAGTGCTTGTTACCTTCTGGTTATCAATTTAATTACGTCACAACTAGAGCACCAACAGTGTCCATAATAGTAGGTATGGCCATGCCATGCAGCCATTGGTCAAAGCCAATGCTCTCAATGCGCATCTCTTTCAATCCAGGCTTTATCAGAAAGAAAAAAACAACTGAATTGACGAAATGTTCTTTGGTCACCACGTGGTCTTTATTCTCCTCATCGTATTTCTGTGCACGGCTTACAGACGAGTGACTGATTGTCTGAATGGAACAGCACTATGTGGCGGTGAATCACCTAGCTGTTGTAGCTCAACGCATCTTTCGACTGGTCGAGTAGACCGTGGTCCAGTCACTGCTTGTTCTCTATCTTGAAAAGACAAATCAGAGGCAAGTCTGGATCACAAAAAATGCCAACAATGAGTCGCGGGGATAATACAGTGAAGCTCAAAAATCGGTAGAATAGTCGATCTCAACTGGTTCACTGGGTGCAGGAAACTGTGTACATGGGTTTCATGATATGCCCGCAAAACTCAACTAGCACGGACAACTGGAGACGAAACGAACAAGTTGTCGGCTGATATTGCGCAAGTGGAAAGATATCGAGTTCAACCAACTCTACTACCACCGGGAATGTTCTACCGTGGCGAAGTCCTAGACCTGTGGTCGTTTCGAATGGAAGCATTCCATTCATCGGTGCACCTGGAGCAGCACAAGATTACTCCACCGCCCGCCGCGTACTTCATTCAGGCTTCCCATTGTCTGCACCACCAGACACGCTCTGACCCATTCGGCCTCCCTATTCGGCACATTACCGCCGGACAGTGTCTTTCGAGAGTGTTTTTTCAACCGTAATCAGCACCCGCGCGAGACAGCGGATGAACATGTCGACGCCCTCCGAGACCTTGCCTCAAAGGCATATCCTGAGGATTCGCCGAACGCTTGTGGAGTGTATGCAGCCCAGCTATTTATGGCTGGTTTGCGAAACGCCGATCTGAAGGCGAAATTTAGTCGGAAAGGCGACCGGACTCTATGTGGCGCCCTGCAACTTGCACGGACCTACAAGCACCTCTATGATGATGAAGACCCATCCCGGAGTCCTGCTTCGTTGTTTCTGACAGCGCAAACGGACCTCAAACAATAATATGGATTTATTTTCACGGTTAACTGACGGAGATGCAGGGGCTTTGACCGAGACTCCAATATTCATACTAATACAGTAAACGGGGCACGCAATAAAATGTGCCGACAACGGTTGATATGACGCTTGTACGGAGTGGACCGCCACGTCTAGTCACCAAAATTCTAGTCGGTGAATTCTGTTCAACGTTTGCTGCATTCTCCTTATTGATGGTTGGATTTTATCCGCCAGGAGACCACATACTAACCACAGCAGCGTGTACGCGGTTGCGGGTGCCCTTGGTCAAATCTTAGTTGTGAATATACACCACTTAATTGTATTCAGCACCATAGAGTAAAATAGCGGGTAGAAAAAGTCGAACGGCCGTAGATGAGCTGCGTAAGTTAGGAGTATTTTGCTACTTGGATCTTACGAGATGCTTTTGTGATAGAGATATCTTCTTCAGGTGAACCTATTTGGATGTGATGAACGCCCGCAGACTCTACTGTTACCTGCCTCTTACACTTACGCGTCATCTTGAACGCGACAGCCTACGACAAGTTTCCCCCTTCTTGGAGATCATCACGTAGGCGCAGTCACCGAGTTCCCATCAACCTTATGTTACACTTGAACCGAAATTGCACGAAATTGACGATGTACACTCATTTTGACGGAAGAAGATAAACGCAGAAACAAAGAAGGAATGAGGACGCATAATGAGTGTTGGAAACAGCTCATGATTCAAAATGAAGCTGAGACTCTTTACAACTAGTCAACCAGATCATCAGTCAGATGTTGTTGCTTCCCAATTACTGTTTATGACCGACAAGACTGAGATGAATCAGGATCTTAGGACTCTGGTTTCCCGGTTTATGGTATTTCAGTGGACTATTTCTTTTGAATGTTGCTCACAAATTTTGTAGATTTGCACGTGTGAAGGACGAACTGAATAGGTTTGTGGGGGTTAAGTGGATCCCGCTGTTTCTGGGATGTGTACTTTAGACCCAGAAGGCTTATCTAAAACCGCTCCCCACTGGGTGGCTAGTTCTATCAACTCTACTTTATTCATTGTGGTTACTTCCACCGCACCATCCTCTTTGGCGTGAATCTTAGTCCTTTCCTCGAAACTCCCACTTTTCTGCATCACTTCTGTCTCCAGTTTCCAGTATATACCATCCCATTTCTGAGTCTCTAAACATCCGCTGATATTCGTCTATGTGTCTGGTTGCTCTCTTTACGTTTACCGATTCTGTTCTGCATCTCCCCTCCCTGTTTGATGTATGTGAACTTTCGTGCAGTCCACACAGTGCATTTTGTTTACGAAGTCCCCCCCCCCAATCCTATCAACTGGGAGGTAGTCCTTCAACTTTACCAAGACTGAGCGTAAAGTTTTACCCTTCTGCAAACTCCACTTTATTGATATTCCTGGTTAACACACTTCTGATGACTTCAGGTGATCACGAGACGAGCGCTGTCTTGCCGGATCTTGGTATTGGGAAGAATACCCATCTTAGATGCCGCCGCCTTCGTCTTGTAGTTGTGTTGTTTGTAAGTTGCCTTCCTCTGTGTACAGAACTCACAACTGACTGAAATTCGCCGGATCTATACTAGCGTATACTAACTTGGAATCTACTGTTGTGTACTTTAGAACTGAACCAGAGTCAGTTGGTTTCAAGTAAACCGCAAGTTTTCATTCCCCACCCCTCTTGGTCCATGCAAAAGTAAGATTACTCACCCGTCTCCAAACATACTCCGATTGATTGAAAATCAGTTTGTTTTCGTTCATTACGCATTAACGTGTAGGCGGCCTGTTCTTGTAATCGTGGCTTCTTTATTTCTACTCATCTTGAAATGGGCCAGTAATGACAGACGCAGAGAATTTCTTATCTTGCCTTGTCTTCGGTTCGACTTGATTGAATAAACAAGCGCTATGTGCGCACATTTTTGAATGTTATCACAATCAATATCTCAGTCGTGGTGAGGATGTACGCTTGTCGCCTATCTGGACAAAATTAATACTAACATTGTTCGCCTCAGGGTAACACCAGTAGGATCGGTTTCTATCTCCTCTGGCCGATTTTTCCAAGGCCGATATCAGATTAGAACCAGACACGACAACGAAACGTCCCAGTGGTCGACGTCAGCACGACTCGGGTTTGTTTGTCTCCCCCTTTTTTCTTTCAAGAGTACATATCTTCAAGGTCAGCAAAGCTTTGTATTTAAACAGCTGTACAATTTGGTTTTCTGTACATCGAAAGTGATCCTAACTATCCAGTGTTTCACCAATTTTCAGAGTTTAGGCATAGTGTCTACTTTGGATTGGAGCGAGGCCTCTCTCTCTTTCACAACACTTTCAGATGCAAGTCTCGTTGCCGTCAAAATTCAGTTAAAGATGTTGCATCGTTCTGACATATTTATGAGCTTAACTGAACTCTGACCTGATAGATGAGCAGAAATGAAAGGACTCTCCCATCTTGGCTATCTTACATCGATCTTGTGACTCGAAAACAACCGGCGGACTTTATTCCAAAAAGGCCACATGAGCACTTGGAAATAGATTGTGACCAGGGTTTAGTTGGGAAACGAGATGATCTCTGCTATGCAAATCCAATTGTCAGGTTTTTTTATAGATGTGATACACTATTCATAAAGCGGCCGAAACTTTTTCGACGGTCCACGACCAGTTTCGCCTTTCTTCGGTCTCACCAACAAGCGCAGTCCCCTAATTTCCATCAACCTTATGTTCCATTTGAACAAGTCTCGTTGCCGCCAAAATTCAGTTAAAGATGTTGCATCGTTCTGACATATTTATGAGCTTAACTGAACTCTGATCTGATAGATGAGCAGAAATGAAAGGACTCTCACATCTTGGCTATCTTACATCGATCTTGTGACTCGAAAACAACCGGCGGACTTTATTCCAAAAAGGCCACATGAGCACTTGGAAATAGATTGTGACCAGGGTTTAGTTGGGAAACGAGATGATCTCTGCTATGCAAATCCAATTGTCAGGTTTTTTTTATAGATGTGATACACTATTCATAAAGCGGCCGAAACTTTTTCGACGGTCCACGACCAGTTTCGCCTTTCTTCGGTCTCACCAACAAGCGCAGTCCCCTAATTTCCATCAACCTTATGTTCCATTTGAACCCAAATTGCACAAAATTCGCATACCAGCTCGTTTTTCAGGGGAAACCCACATGAATCCCCCTGAATTTGTCGTTTTTGAAGTTCTTTCAACCGAATGTGTTGTATCAGGCCCTGTTATGCTTTAGCTCATATTTACCAAAATCTGTTCGATTTATGTCCAAGTAGAACATGACTTCGGAGGAAACGCGGGGACTGTGTTGACCTGATGAGCCCCAAGAATAGCGAAATTGGTCGGTCACTCATGAGTAGTGTGCTACGTTTAGACTTTGATGTCTTCCTTACCTTTCCAGCTGAGAATGAGGTGGTACGTCACAACGAAATGAAGAGTATTATGAAGCGAGGATTCTGCTGTCATCTGTTAAAACCAACCTAATTTGTATAACCCTACCTAAGCAGAATCCGATGCTCAGGTTTGAAATGTAGTTGACGGAAACCCGGCGACTACACCGATCTGATGAATTCAAAAATATACTGGAGGGCTAAACAGGTAGTCGGCTGTCCAGGATTGTTGGTCTTACATTTACTACGCACAGTGGGGCAAAAGCAGTAACTAGCGAATTCTGTCTGATGAAAGCCCAATATCGATTGATTGGACAGCGATGGGTTACTCAGCAAACACCCCATACCAGCCCGCTATTTTTCCAGAGCACTATATTCTCTAAACGTAACACACCACCCTTGAGGCTGCTGGAAACCCAGCATCTTTATGTGAATTGTGTTCCGTCTGGACAAAACGATGCGATGTTCCGAATATCGTACAAACTGAAACATGAGACGGCCTGGTGTAGCATGTTCAGTGGAAGCTTACCGTCATAAACAGGAGATTCGGCTGAACCGTTTTCGCAAAACCGAATTCGTGTGCGAATGAGTGTTTGTCGAGCTATATTCAGCCATTTTTGGACTTTTCGCAGGCCATGTCAGTCGAATGACTTGATATCTACCTTAAAAAGATCGTACAACCAAAAGAGGCAAACAGCGCAATCGCAGTTCACTTGATCAACAGAAAGCAATCGATTAATCCTGCTGAGCTGTCCATCCTGGTATCGAATGTCACCAAATCGTTCCAAGGCTGAAACAACCCTGGCAATCGCCATTCAAGGTACACCAACTCACTATGCAACCAGAAAACTCGACGTGAAATTGTTGAGCTTGCCCGGGCCGATCAACTTCGTTTCTTAGTTATCCTCGATTCAGTTATCGCCTTGAGTCGTACGCATTACTGCCTCGTCTGATTTTATGCAGACATCTAACCACTTATTCCATTTATGACTGCGTGGAGACAATTGTCCTCACAACTAACTGTGAAATTTTTGTTTCCAAGATTCACGGCGTCCAAAGAAACAGCGCGGAATGTGAGCCAACTTCCGGTGTACAGATACTACTCAAATTAGGTTCATCTCGTTGATCGTGAGCACTCGCATATAGCAAATACGCTTTCCACCCTCAGTTTGCCCCGTCAAAAACTTCTCAAGTACGTGTGCGTCTGACACCTGATAAGGAACCTCATACCTTGATGACATCCTGAGAAAAAACATATACTTGGAAGGGTTTGTATTACACGACAGTAGAACTTGCTATCCAGTCAATTGTAGAACAGAAAAGTCCGCTTCTTCATCCGCCGTACCGGGGACGTTATTATCATTGGTATGGAGAAAAACTGAAAACTCAACACTTAAAAAAGGCAAAACCTGGATAGCTGTGTTTTGGTGCTAAAAACGAGTAATACGCCACTACGCCCAATCAAAGCACCGCCAATGATCCTCCCAAAGTCAAGCTGCGTTTTCGCTTTCATCTGTGATCGCGGTGAACAAGGCTTGAGGCACGGATAAAAGTAAATTCTGAACACTCTGAAGCATTCCAGTAGCAGTCATTCCAACAAAGGAAACTACTCACAAGTTTGCTCAAAACTCTTCGACAGCCCACGACGGGTTTCACCCTTCTTGGGGCTCATCAAGTAGGTGCAGTCCCCGAGTTTCCGTCAACCTTATGTTCTACTTGAACCCATATCATAAACGGGAGAATCAGTTGAGTCTCTCGTGAAAATCAAATTGATTTGCAAATGAGTGTATTCAGTATTAAAAAAAATTCTAACTTTGTATGGTGTCTCTCGTTTTCCCGACCATCAAAAGCCATCAGGTTGATATTTCTTCACTGTTTAAAGTTATCACAACAAGCAACCACCATTAGTTTGGCCTCGATGATTGTTAAAAGAGGACTCGACGGAACATTGTGTTCACCCTCGCATAAGTGATCCGGTTATACATTTGATCCATGTGCTTCTGAGCTTTAGATTTTTAATAGCAAATTCCATTTTTGGTTTGTTTCTTTACGCATGCGACATTTACTACGTTTGACAAAAGTGTCCGAACCTGTCTTCTTCCATCAGTATTAAAAAAAATAAGCATTTCGGTGACGAAAATCAGTTGTGGTGTGGCAAAAGGCACAATCGAAAAATCGACTTCACGAGGATGACGAGGAGCAAGGGACTAATGCATGCATTCTGACAGGCGCCGACGAGTGTGTGAATTTGCTGAAAAACCGCCTAACCATGAAACAAGAAAGTCCATGCGTAGCGCTGTTGGTGTCAGTTAGCTACCGTAGGCTGTGTATGCAGATGCACTAAGCAGTAGTGACAGAAGGATCTACGGCAGATCCCAACCAAATCTACCCAGTAACGTGGACGTTTCTGAAGAACTAACGACCTACTGTGTGTACTCTTTCCTTTGAAGGCACAGAATCCCCGTTAGCAAGTTCCAAATGGGATTCACAAAAAGCAATCCGATAATTTTTTTTGGTTTTGTATCACTAACCAGATGCGTGAAGGGCGCCATGTGGCTTACTTTTTTGTGAGTTGCTGAACGGCCGTGTAGCTCTGTGTCGGTCCCCGGCTTTCTTTTCCGCCCACTATGATACATCAAAAGGCACGCTAGCTTCAGACAGTCCTTTTATGGAGACTAAGGAAGATTATGAAAACTGTATTTATAGGGCGATCTCAGAATATTCCAAAAGGTTGTGCTAGAATCCCTGTGAGGGTTCGAGAAGCGTCGAGCTAAAGATTCTCGATCCAGATTGGCTGGCATTCTGACCAATCAGGGCACACCTTCGGTTGGTCCGTAGCCCACACATGACATCCGTCCAACTGACGTGCTGTTCGGTTATTAGGGGCTGCTGTAGATCAGGCTGTTCCAATCATCCTAAGCTCTTGAAATTTTTATAAGCGGCTGAGTTAATACAAGAGTGTTGAGTCTGACCGCCCGTCGAATCTTTGATATTTACTGACCAACGAGCTGTGCTTGTGAACGGTACGATTCAGGTGGTTATCGATTCAATTAGTTCCCACGCATCGGTTGATTCTCGAAACACTGTTAAACGCACACAAAACCACGTGCTGCCAGATGCGTGCCTTCCTCTGATGACGTCGGACGCCATCGCTGGGATAATAATGGCAGTGCCTCAGCTCAGTTCTCGGGCTCATTCTCCCAAGCTGTCGTTTTCAGCGAGAGAATTACCAAGGGTAGACAGAGTGTTTTAAACACCCAAAAACAGATAAAAACGGAAATACAGTCTGTCGTATTTGAAGACCATGAGAGGACAGCATTCTGGAAGTCCGGACGCTCTCTGGACGCGACCTTCATGACTGACAGATACTGAAACACGATACGAAGTTTGGTCCACATTATCGACCAGTCAGAGTTGGCCTTGATGCTGAGTGGAAAAGAGGCCTGATCCCCGGGCAGTCACGTACGAGTTAGACTTACTCGCCGTAGTACCGCCTAATTGTGAGCGGTAAGGCAGTTTTGGTGAAGGACTGCGCCTGACACCTGCATCGGTGCCATTGAATTAGTCCAGGTACAGTCGCACGTCCAAACAGTTATGGCAAAAATAATGAACCTGGGCTGGTGGATCCATCCAAGAATAGGTTATTGGTCCGAGCAGTCACCTACGGCACCGACGTCACCTACGAAACCAGTGCATACCTTTGGACTGGTCCGTTTTGCACGATCAAGCGAGTGAGCGCGGATAGGCTGCCTAATTGGATTATCCAGTAAGGTAAGAAAGTCTCTAACACGATGCCACCATCAGATTTACGACGGTGCCATCAGTATGAATTTGACGACCAGCAAGGACGAGTTAGGAAACCAGCGTGCATCCCATCATTGCTTCTGGGAGCTAGGATTCGCTTTAAGTGATTCGCCGTGATACACTGATAGCTGCAAGCTTCAGAGTGAGCAGTCTCAGACGGATATTGTCCCATTTAGACTACTGAGTATGTCTCACGTACATTTAGTTCTCGATGGTATAATTCCGACAAAACCAGTTACAGTAAAGGCGTCAAATTTCTCAGAGAAAACTATACGTAACGGCGGGTGTGATATCGCTTCCGTTGCAAAAACTAACTGCAGCTGATTGCGTCACGTGCTGCCGTCAGCTGGATTCAAGAAAGCTAATATAACCCAAAAAATCAATAAGTTGTGTGAGCTCGAATCTGAACGCACCTTATGGACTATAGGATTCCGTGTAAGCTCACTCGAGGTAAACTAAGTCACCGGATCGGATATCGATCAAGCAGTTTTGTGTAAAAGTACACGCGCAGGAACTAATCGATGTCTATGTGAGATTTATGAAATATTGTGGTGGAATTCACTCTGTAAGCGATTCATTCATTTGGAGATTTCACCAACCGCTTCCAAGAGCCTAACTACCACTGATGTTGAACTATTACTCTAGGGTGAAGTAGCCTTACCCATATGATTGAACAGCACCTTCCTCGGAGGTAGTATAATTTCTTGCATCTTCATGAGGATGGACCATATGAGACATTCATTTCCATGTCAAAAGATTCAATCGCTTGGATGACACTTGAGTGAAGGTGATCGTTGGTTTGTTCACTGAGCTAGGTAATTTAATTGCAACCGTTTTATCACGGACCAAAGAGACACGATCAGTGCCTAGCTCAGTGAACAGTTCGATGGTCATCTACGCTGCCAGCACGGTTCTCGATAGTCAATGACTGAAGGATTTCAAGAACAGCCACTCTGTTTATCTGACGTCATTTCCCGAAACCCGAGCAACGCAGGGTCCCGCCACCCACTTAGCACTGTGCTAGTACGACGGGATCGCCCTGAAGATGTCAAAACTTCCGATGTCTTCGTTCACGAAAAAAAGAACAATATACTTCGACAAATACACTCATTTGGATATCAAGTATGTTTTTTCACGACAGACTCAACTGGATCTCTCGTTTGTGATATGCAAGTGAGTGCATTTGCTGAGATCTAACCAATCTGGGTTCAAGATGACGGGAACTCGCGGGCTTCGCCCGCCTGATGAGCCCCAAGAAGGGCAGAAGCAGTCGTGGGCTCTGGAAAACTTTTCAGCAACCTTGTGAGTAGTTTTCTCCATGAAAAGCGACATAGTCTTCTACGATAAAGTTTTTTCAGTGAAAAAGATTTTGTTATTGCAATATTGCCTCGAGGAGTCGAACCACCCAGAACCAATGTGACACTTTCTGTTTCTTCCACTAACACAGGAAACAATATAATGGAAGGTTCCTAGTCCCAGAACATATTACGGGTGGGATAAACCATCGATCTCATTTATAGCCATCTTTCACCGAAAACAACACTTCATGAGTAGGGGCGAGATGACACAGTGGTCAGAGGGCGAAGTTACTGACCATGGTTCGAACCCGACCTCTGCCTCTCGACTTTTCCTGTCTAGGCTTGAGCAATCCGGCAGTACCACAGCCCTCGTGCTTTCTCTGGGTGGCACGGCAACTAAGCACCGAAAGGGTTTACAGCTGGACGTTTTTAACGAGCAGGAGAATCAGCTGAGAATGATCCTTTATGCCGAAGCGTTTTTGGCTAGGATTTAAAGATGAACTGTCACGCAATAGGTTGTATTTATTTAGGTGTAGATTGCCACTCTCCACCAGCTCGAAATAGTTCAGTCGCGAACTTTTTGACCAGAAGGTCCGTGGTTCGAACCCAAGCCCGAAAACTCTACTGCCACGTCTGGGGTTGGGCAACCTGACAGTATCCCAGCCCTCATGCATGGAAGCTGCGCAGCAGGAATACGATCCAGCTTGTCAATTGTTCACTACTTTTCTCATCTCAAAGGATGATACTCTCCAACACGCACTGCCTGTTCAAGTACNTAGCCTGGATCTCCAACAAAAAAATTTATGAGGCACGACACGAATTTAAAGCGATTTCCCATTGGTTCCTTTGTCTTTAGATATCAGTTTCCTGTGCTCTTCTTCAACCTCCATCCTCTTCCCAGACAAAACTTCACTCCGTTGAGGGATCTACATACACTGATTAGCTGTCTGAGTTATAAATATGCATGGTTCCCCCAATCTTCTCTTCAACACTGGTGTGCTGCAGTGTTTTTCGCGCACAATTGCCTTTCGTTCCTTATGAAGACTTTCCATAAGCTTACCTGGCTGAGTTCTCAGCGAGATGGCTGTGGGTAGAGCGTGGAAGGTCTGTGGTTCGAACCCGACCTCTGCCTCTCGACTTCCTCTTTCTAGACTTGGGTACCCGGTCCTCGTGCTTTCCTCGGATGGAATAGCAGTTGGGCACCGAAAGGATTCGACAGCTGAACGACCTGTTTGGGAAAAATATATCCACTACATGAAGTTGGATTGCTCATGTCGAACAAACCTTTTATGCGCTGCGAAAAAACTACTCTTAACTAAAGGCCTTCTCGCTCTTTCGTGTGCTGTTTTACGCTTGACTGTATGATACTACTGTCCTACCGAGTTCTTAAACGATGACTGAAACCAGTTTCAGTCATGTATCACTTCCGACCCTTGTATCACTTTTGTACATATTCTTTCCTGTCTGTGACGCGTTCCATTCTCTCCGTTCAACCTTTTCATACGCCCCATCAAGCATGATATATCTCGAGGCACTCTTCCTCGTGTGAAGTTCCACTGTTGGACGTCCATTTTGTTCGCCTTTCTGATTTACCCACTTTTGACCCCTTCCGCAGGAATAACCCGTTACCATAACTGAAAGCATCCATTCTACAGCGGCTAAGGTAGGAATGCGTTCCGGTCTGACAGCCAATCAATTAAGACCAGGACAGAAAACCTGTTCCGGAAGGGCATGTTGTACTTGTTTCTTACGGTACCATGCAGTCCCACTCCAACGGGCTGTTTCTAAACTTAATTCAAAGTTCGTAATTACACATTGCACACACTGTGTGACTCGCGAATAGTGTGAGGTCGTACTCGTGAACTTTTCTTGGAAAATGGATGGGACAAAATCTCGAGTGAAATTCCCAAATCTCATCACATTACCAGCAACCTGTAAGTAGCTCGGAGGGAAGGATAATTCACGATCCGCCTGGAATATCCATCTGAGTAGTCATCACTCGCGGAACCAGTGAACAGGTGACCGGTTGATGTAAAGTCCGTGACTGAAGAATGACTGGCGCTCTCCAAGGTCGACTTAATCACACTACTGATCAGCCGTTCGTGGTCGACCGGTTCAGTCTTCAACCACTAGTCAGAATGTCACAAGGTCGAATCTCTTTGGGGCTTCGTGAGATCTGCACTGCTGACGATCCCCAATAAGGCTAGGCGTCTCGGCACAGATTGGTTTCACTTACAGGAGGACAAAGTCTCGATTGGAGAAGGCCAAAATTCGCAGTAATATCACATACCTTATTCCCAAAAATGAAAACATATATGGAACAAATTGGACAGCATGTAGCGTGAGAAGGAGACGGCCCAGGGGAAATCACGTGTTTAGGGCAAGTAGACGGGGGTTACGAATGCATAGAAGAGGATAAAAAATAACTGACGAGAAAATATTTTTCGAGGTTGGAGCATACGATGCAGCCGTTTTGGTGTAGCGTGTGTGTCGAAAGGACAGGTATGTCATACATGAAGAAATGAGACAAGTGTCCTGAATCTGCCATCACCATCATTATCATCGTCGGCGCTCAGCAGCACCCTCGCGAGGTTTCTGCATCCGGATACTGTTGTAATAACGACTGCTGGGCTATCGAGGCAGCCAAAGCGGCATTGTGACTAACCTTCACTCCATCCCAGTCGCCAGTAGAAGTCAACTGCAGAGAGAAATAAAATGAATTACACGAGAAAGTCAACCCGATCGGTCGTCATGAAATGTTTAGACGCCAATCTCTAGGCTCAGTGAACAAATCAATCTTTTCATTGATAGGTTCTCAACCCGCTGAATATTGATTTTTTACACCATCTGGTTCCCTGTTTTCTTTCCCGACCGATATTGTTTAATATCGTACATCGTTCAACGATACGCCATCCTATTCCAAGGTATCTGCTAAAAGGCCAGATCACTCTGTGGCTCGAAATACGAATCGAACGCAGCATCGATGGACTCCGCCCCCGCGAGGATGTGACCAGCGTCTTCGGTGGCCCAGTTTTTGAGCAAAAAGGTTAGCTCAGGTGTGTCTTTCTGTTCACACCACGTACACCTGGACTTTGCACTTCACTATTGACCAAATCTACTTTTCACCAGTCGGAATGAGTCCAAATAAATTCTTCGTGTCAGTATCATATTTCTGTTTCCGCGATGTTCACGTGATTCCAAATACCGACTGTTTGGGAGAAAATATATCCACTACATGAAGTTGGATTGCTCATGTCGAACAAACCTTTTATGCGCTGCGAAAAAACTACTCTTAACTACAGACATTCTCGCTCTTTCGTGTGCTGTTTTACGCTTGACTGTATGATACTACTGTCCTACCGAGTTCTTAAACGATGACTGAAACCAGTTTCAGTCATGTATCACTTCCGACCCTTGTATCACTTTTGTACATATTCTTTCCTGTCTGTGACGCGTTCCATTCTCTCCGTTCAACCTTTTCATACGCCCCATCAAGCATGATATATCTCGAGGCACTCTTCCTCGTGTGAAGTTCCACTGTTGGACGTCCATTTTGTTCGCCTTTCTGATTTACCCACTTTTGACCCCTTCCGCAGGAATAACCCGTTACCATAACTGAAAGCATCCATTCTACAGCGGCTAAGGTAGGAATGCGTTCCGGTCTGACAGCCAATCAATTAAGACCAGGACAGAAAACCTGTTCCGGAAGGGCATGTTGTACTTGTTTCTTACGGTACCATGCAGTCCCACTCCAACGGGCTGTTTCTAAACTTAATTCAAAGTTCGTAATTACACATTGCACACACTGTGTGACTCGCGAATAGTGTGAGGTCGTACTCGTGAACTTTTCTTGGAAAATGGATGGGACAAAATCTCGAGTGAAATTCCCAAATCTCATCACATTACCAGCAACCTGTAAGTAGCTCGGAGGGAAGGATAATTCACGATCCGCCTGGAATATCCATCTGAGTAGTCATCACTCGCGGAACCAGTGAACAGGTGACCGGTTGATGTAAAGTCCGTGACTGAAGAATGACTGGCGCTCTCCAAGGTCGACTTAATCACACTACTGATCAGCCGTTCGTGGTCGACCGGTTCAGTCTTCAACCACTAGTCAGAATGTCACAAGGTCGAATCTCTTTGGGGCTTCGTGAGATCTGCACTGCTGACGATCCCCAATAAGGCTAGGCGTCTCGGCACAGATTGGTTTCACTTACAGGAGGACAAAGTCTCGATTGGAGAAGGCCAAAATTCGCAGTAATATCACATACCTTATTCCCAAAAATGAAAACATATATGGAACAAATTGGACAGCATGTAGCGTGAGAAGGAGACGGCCCAGGGGAAATCACGTGTTTAGGGCAAGTAGACGGGGGTTACGAATGCATAGAAGAGGATAAAAAATAACTGACGAGAAAATATTTTTCGAGGTTGGAGCATGCGATGCAGCCGTTTTGGTGTAGCGTGTGTGTCGAAAGGACAGGTATGTCATACATGAAGAAATGAGACAAGTGTCCTGAATCTGCCATCACCATCATTATCATCGTCGGCGCTCAGCAGCACCCTCGCGAGGTTTCTGCATCCGGATACTGTTGTAATAACGACTGCTGGGCTATCGAGGCAGCCAAAGCGGCATTGTGACTAACCTTCACTCCATCCCAGTCGCCAGTAGAAGTCAACTGCAGAGAGAAATAAAATGAATTACACGAGAAAGTCAACCCGATCGGTCGTCATGAAATGTTTAGACGCCAATCTCTAGGCTCAGTGAACAAATCAATCAAGCCATTTGAGCAACAATCACATGAAACCATAGTTACCAGTTTTGAATCTAAACCGTTGTCTACATTTGTCAGAAAGGGTTCATCTACGCTGGTCCTCTGTTTTGCCTGCCATATCAACCCACCAATCCATCAACTCGACCAGGAGCACTAAACTAGAAAACTACGCCAGTGTAAAACAGGACCACGAAAGGTCGTGGTAACCAGTAATGTCCCATAGGTGAGACTATCAAACAGACGGGAGAAAGTCAGAATGGGCAACAATGGGGCGGTTCTTCTGTGGCATAGATAAAGTGGTACAGCCAATACTAACTCGTTGCAAAAGCCTTTAGACACATCTGATAGTTTGGTAGGACTGCACAGAAGATACAAATACTTCCTTGAGCAAACGACGAGAGATGCGGGGATGTCAACACAAAGCAGATCACACGTTGCTAGGTGGAAAGTCCAAAAAAGCACAACCACGCGACGACTTTTGTCTTCATTAAGATCCACCAGCTGGGAGAAGAGGGATTCCATACATGATTCCTTGATTCACAATTTCAGGATAGTAGCTGTGGACCAGGCGCCGTCTGTGCAGCTGATGACTTTAAGTTTAAACGCGTTTCATGGTCAAATCCGGTCTTATCCAATTCAAACAATCAGCTGACCACTGGTTTGGTCCGATCACCAATCGACTGACGATTACCAGGATATGAGCCTGGAAGTTCACCGGATGCTTAAGGTGAATGTGTGATCGATGACGGAACACATCAGCCACATGAGATTTCAGCTTCACCGAGGTGCACGAAGCTTAAAGCAGGCCACTGACGGCAGCTTCAATCTAAAGAGCATGGTTGCTGCTAGGGAAAATACTGTACGTCGCTGATAAAATGCGAGAATGATAAGGAAAGTAGCACCCGTTGGATACAAGATAATCGACGCACTCTGAAATAGGTGAAAACACAATTCCACACTACTTGAAACATTTTGCTGGCACTTGATGGAGAGAATGACAACTCGTGGTATACTGCAGCGCACGCGCGGTCGACCGAGAACCCATGGACAGAGCTGTTAGGCGAAATTCCAGACGGACCATTCTTTACCACTCGCAGACAGGTGCTGTTACGGCCAAGAAGTCGATACCACACAAGATTGGCCGAAAATTCGGGACGCTTACCGGTCCGCATCAAGCCGAGATCTGACTGGTCGAACGTCTGGACCCAACAGCCAATCATGATCCAGAACTGGCGAAACCCAGTTGCCAATGGTGCATCCAGAGCGCGTTAGAATTTCCAGAAAGTTATTACCGTCTACGCTATACATATGAAGCCATGTACATGTGTTCCTGACTTCGCTTTGGGCGTCAATATACCTTGTGCACATCTGGTGGTTGTTTTGACGTAAACGCTAGCTTGGGAGGCTCAGACTGAGAACTAAACTGAGAAGAATACTGTTACTACAAGAACAAACACGTATTACCAGTTTGGTTGGGATGGGGACAACACAGAATCATGGTCATTAGGAAGACTGTTGCTTTTCGCACTTTTGCGAGGAAACCATTTATCATGAAAGAGCAGCCTTCGGTTTGACGTCACCCCCAAACATGACAACAGTTTTCTGAAGAGAACATTTGCCGAATGGAGACAATACGTTCGGAAAGAGGAAGAATGGCACAACCGATCAGCTTTAGACGAAGCGACCAAATGGCACAGTGATGTCTCAGCCAATCAACTGAGTCCGGAACTAAATGTCTTTCAGCTCGAATAATTGTACTGCATATAATGTTTGGAAGACGTCCTTCAGAGGCACATTAAACTAGAAGTACGGGAACGAGTTATCAGATGACTGCCTGCTCGACGCTTCCACGGTAGCTGAACAAGGTGAATCAATCTACTCATAAGTCTGCTGAAAATTCGTCGACAGCCCAGGTCCGGTTCCGCCCTTCCACTTCAGGCTCATCAGGTAAGCGCAGTTTCCGAGTTTCCGTCAACCTTATGTTCCACTTGAAACCAAACTGCACGAAATTAGCGAAATACACTCATTTGCAAACTAATTTGGTTTTGTGAGAGACTCACCTGGAACCCAGCTGAATCTCTCAAGAAGGGCGAAACCGGTCGTGGGATATCGACGAATTTTCAGCAACTTTATGAGTGGTGTAGTACGAATAGACATGTATCGCGATATCTCGAATATCGTAGCGACTGAAACATGAGGCGGCCTGGTGCAGCACATTCAGTCGCCTGGAAACTTCACAAACGAGGGATTCAGCTGGGTTCCAGGTGAGTCTCTCATAAAACCAAATTAGTTTGTAAATGAGTGTATTTTGTGTACAACGGTCAACAACCAGCCGATGTTCGGTTCATAGCAAACTACCCCTGACCGCTTGCCAAGCTGATTAAAACATAACGCTACGCCGCTCTGAACTGAACACTAGCATCGCGTACTAGATATTCACTTTTCATAGGTAAGATGCGGCCGAAAAAGCATCAAAAACGACACGAGTAAAAGATAAGTTTTGCGTGTTGGTTATACGTATATTGCACGCTGTTTGCCAACGTGGATTGTCTGATAGTTTCCACAGAGAACTGCAACGAGGAGAGTTGAAAGTGAAACTGGCGCAAGAGTATTCCACAACTGCTCTTGGTTGCCTATTCAACGCGGTTATTGTAACACGATGGTGGAAGCCAGTATGCATAACGTTCTCGAAAAAATAGTCGGATCACTTCCATTGAGTTGTCTTCAAGATAAGGCTCAGGTCACCTGTCAGAAACGCGCTTCCTCACTGCCAACACGTTACTCCTGCCAGACGCAGCCGCGTAGGTGCTGATGATCGAACATGTTTCACGTGAACAGCCCACGCTCTGCATCCATATAACTGTACTGCACGCACGCACGTTGTACACACAGACATTTGGCGAAACACTGACATCTCGCCGTTGCCACAAATTACGGAGGTTGGTGAAACCTGTGTGCGACCTGCAGTGCTTCATGCAAGCGAATGTTCGAATGAAGCCAAGATGGCTGTCCGAGAACAAAAGTTGTAGAAAAATTACCAGTCCCACTCTCGCAAGGACCCAGTCAGGGCAAATGCGACTTTACGTGCCGAACGGGGTAGTTACGATTCTTTCACACTGAGATAGCGAGATCGAATTTTCAAAAAACTTGGCTTCGTAGATGATGGTGGCGGCGAACCAAAATACTTTGCATTCAGAAACATCTGGTCCTTTTCATCTATCAGGTGTGCATCCCTAGGTGAGGCGCGGATGAAACCACTGCTCAGCACTTTGTACCGTCTGAAAATAGTGGAAATTTCGGGGAGTTGGGGTGGACTAAGTTGTTGATTGGCTGTGTGAGAACTTATCCAATATGAGCCTTCTGATTTCCCCGAAAGTGTAAGGTCATGCTTGTGAACGTTTAGCCACTGAACACGCCACTTACAATCTACGGAGAGGTACCGGAAGTTGTGGAAGTTGTTGTATTAGTTCTGATTTCCCCGAAAAAGGTCATGCTTGTGAACGTTTAGCCACTGAACACGCCACTTACAATCTACGGAGAGGTACCGGAAGTTGTGGAAGTTGTTTGTTATCTTGGAAGTTGTATTAGTTCTGATTGTAGTGTGACAGATGAGGTGAATGCACGAATCTGCAAGGCTCAGTCCGCGTTTGCTAACTTGAGACACCTATGGCGTCAGAATGGTTTATCCCTGAATCTGAAGGGACGTGTGTATCAAGCTACAG